TCTAGCGACCTTGCAATTATTACGTGACTAAATAAAATTTTAATTTATTAAATAATGAATTTTGTTAAATTGCTCTGTACTTTTTTAACTATTGATGTTTTTAAAGATATAAGCTCATCATCATGTTACACTCATCAAGAGCTTTCATTTGAGTACCCACATGCATTTTTGATATATATTTCATATATACATATATATAACATATATTTTGAAAATATAAGCTCATCCTGATGTTACACTCATCAAGAGCTTTCATTTGAGTACCCACATGCATTTTTGATATATTTTTCATATATACATATATATAATATATATATAAATATATAAAATATATGAAAAATTGATGTGGGTACTCAAATGAAAGGTCTCGTTGAGTGTAACATCGGGATGAGCTTATATCTTTAAAAATGTCAATAGTTCTCAAGATACAAGGACAATATAATAATCATAATAATTGATCAAAAATTAAACTATCAGCCAATTAATTTTTTAATAAAAAATTATTATCTCCGTAATTGTACTGATTTGATTGAGAAATATCGTATTTGCTTGAAAATACTTATAATTTTATTGAAAATTAATTAACGCATTTTGGTTGGTTATTAATAAATCGTAATTAAGATAGAGATAAGGAGTGAATTTTGATTGGAAATAAAATAATTACTGTAAGAGTAAAGATTAAATAAAAAAAAAATGTTGCAACTCTTGACTTGTTCACTATTATCGTCCTCTCTCTCTCTTGCCCCATTCCGCTTTACTTTTATTTGATACACGTACGGTGTATATGTATTGTCTGTATGTATGTGTTTATATTGCATCTTGCATCTCTTATCCTCAGAATCCGCCGGGGGCAAACGCGCGGGCGAGTTCCGAGTTAGCTACCAAAAAAACCAGCCGGGCTACCGAACAAGTATAAAAGTAACAAGCCATCCCTTTCTTTGCCGTCAGTCTTCACCTTTCGGTATTAAACACAAGCTCTTAGGTTTAACTCAAGTATTTCATTTGATCGAAGAATTTTTTAATTAATAGAACATTGCCGTAGGATTAATTACAGTGAGTCGATCATAAAGAAATCGAATAAAAAATTTTTTTCGTTAAAGTAAAAATAAAAATTTTAAATCAAACTAAATAACAGTAATAATTTTCCAAATAATTAAAAATACGTACTCAGTAAATACATAAAACAGAATATTGAACCTCATTAATAGATCAGCAAGAATAACTGAACACCCTCTTGTCATCGAGGCCTTACACTCCCCTTCTATTCGCTCAACTTGATAATCGATAAGAAAATTTTCTTACGTCTTCTTAAATTAACCAGGCAATAAAAATAATAATAAATCTAGTGAGTGGCGCGATGACACGAAAATTGATGTGTATTTTCCAGTAACTCGAATCACTTGTACACTCATATAATACCCTCTTTACCACACTCTCTTTCTTTCTTTTACTCGAGCAGTTTAGTTGGTTGCTCAGTCACTCACAGCTACTCGCGTCTCGTTAACGTTGTAAGCAACTGCTTCCAGGTAATTTCACACGGAATTCACTCATTCTCGCTTTACTTGCTCTTTTTTTTTTATCTTTATTTCTCTTCTCTCATTCACTAACGGGCGATATAAATTTTACTCGACTTCCAGCATCAACTTCAAAACACATACGTGACCTCTTTATTTAATTATTTGAATTTTTATTAGAAGCTTGGGAAATAAAAATGATTTAATGGCTCCAATAAAATAATTATTTAATATTAAGTGCTTTTTTTATTATATAGTCGGAAATTTTATTTTTAAATACTATTATAGTATCTGCATAGGAAGAAACATGGAGACTGCAGTGCAGTAACTGCAGCCTCGCAGGAATAGATAATGCAGAGGGCTCAGCTCATGTATTCATATATTCATATTATGTAGTCAATGTCATACGTTAAGTGTCTTCACCTTAGAGTTGGAAATAAAATAAAGCAAGTTGGTACTTATGGTTCTGAGTGCATGTCAAAATATTTACTCGACTATAAAAAAATTTGTTGATTTTAGAATATTTTTGATTAAAAAAATATTTTTTGAGAATTGACTTAATCTATATTATTTAGAGAATAAGCGAAATTTTGTATCTCGTGAAATATTGACATTTTTAAAGATATAAACTCATCCTGATGTTACACTCATCAAGACCTTTCATTTGAGTACCCACATGCATTTTTCATATATTTTTCATATATACATATATATATAATATATATAAATATACAAAATATATGAAAAATTGATGTGGGTATTCAAACGAAAGGTCTTGATGAGTATTACATCGGAATGAGCTCATATCTTTAAAAATGTCAATAATTAAGAACTGACCTTTTATTTTATGAAATAATGACATTTTTTAAGGTATAAGCTCATCTCGATGTTACACTCATCAAGACCTTTCATTTAAGTACCTACATCAATTTTTGATATATTTATATATATTACATATATTATATATATGTATATATGAAAAATATATCAAAAGTGCATGTGGGTACTCAAATGAAAGCTCTTGATGAGTACAACGTCGGGATGAGCTTATATTTTTAAAATATATATTATATATATGTATATATTAAAAATATATCAAAAATGCATGTGGGTACTCAAATGAAAGCTCTTGATGAGTGTAACATCAGGATGAGCTTATATTTTTAAAAACGTCAATATTTAAGAGAGTACAGTGCAATTTAACAAAATTCATTATTCAATAAAGCAAAGTTTAATTTATTTATGGTTTAAAGTCTTGATATATTAATAATAATATTAAAATGTCTGTGAACTATTTCTCAAAACCTAAACTATAAATTACAATTAAAAATAAATGACATAATAAAAAAAGTGTGGTAAAATAAAATTAAAAAAAAAACATTATGTGCACCCACGCCTTGGTGTATATAATACGTCAGTAATTTTTCGAGACAACTCAACCTGTTTTATCAGTTCGTCTCTCTTACGCTCGCCTGGGCACAGACAGGACGAACTCTCCTTTGTATAATATGAGACTGATATCACATGAGCGAATGTGAATGTAGTGTGAGTGTGAGTTGAGATTGAGCACATTGAAGACGACACCACGACACCACGGTCACGACCGATGAGCGACGTACATGTGCAGTATAGTCGCAGATCCAAGGCCTGTAAGGTTGCTAGTGAACAGGTGCCTCTCGAAGAAATTAATCCTGCCTTTTTTGTCAAACTAAAATTAATTTTTTTTTAATTTTATAATTTAAAAAATTTCATTAAAATTATAAAATAAATTTTCCCTGATTAAAAATTTTTTTTGACGCAATATTGATCGTTTAAAATTTTTTTTTAAATTGACGTGTGTGGTAACTACTTAAAAAAAAAGAGGAACAATCAACAGAATATAAAACCGAAAGCAAATAATTAAAAATCGAGAGATTATAAATGCAAGAATTCAACAACCGCCCACACACTAGAAAACACTTAACCATCTGAACATTATTAAATTTTTACACTTCATTTACGAGTCGGCAGCTCTTTTAATACATAGTTTTATGCCTGGTCTTCCTTTTACGAGTATAGAGGGTTATCATTGAGAGAGGCTCTTAAATTAAACGAGCGAGATGACCGGAGCAGGAGCAACCACAACAGCGAATAAGTTAAAGACATTGGATGATATCTCGTTAAAAATGAAGTTGAACGCGCCGACTAATTGGCTACAGCGACCGTGATAGTGTTATAAATTAACATCGATTAAAGGGGACTAATCGATTATTCAGACATGTTTAATCCTCCATCCCATGAAAGAGTCATTTATTAATCCGAGTCTTAATATTTAATCGGATAAATTTAACAATAATGCCGATTTTATGATGAAACTTTTCAATCTTAATTGTGGCTTTAATATTTTCCAAATACGAACTTATATAGTATCATTAGGTAGGGAATTGAATTTTTTGTAAAAAAAACATCTTATAAATTTTTTCGTATCTCTCCTTCTTTTGAGACAGCAAGCTAAACTTTTCAAGAAAATTTTTTTATAATTTATTTAACTAAAAATATAATTTATTAAATTTTAAACTTTAAATTCTAAAAACAAGAAATTTTTTTTTGTGGGAAATTTTATTTTTTATAAAAGAGATTCTTATAAATTTTTTTGTATTTCTTCTTTAAGCAGGAAAATAAATAAAACATAAGAAAATACTTTTATTTATTTATTTATTTTAAATAAATGAATTTAAATAAAAATATAATTTTGTAAGCTTTAAAATTAAAATTCTGGGTTAAAAATTAAAAAACACAAAAAAACCATGAGAACTTTTTTATATCTCTTAATTTACTGCCAGAAAACAAGCAAAAATATTTAGAGGTATAAAAATTAAAATAAAAATAACATTTTTAAATTTTAATCTTGAAATTTTGAGTTAAGGATTGAAAATACAAAAAAAAACAACCTTTTTTGTATAAAAATCAATTCTCTACTAAGAAGATCCTTATCAATCACCATATCTTCGATCCGTTTAGCCAGAATTTGAATTTGAAAGTCAATAGAAATTTTTTTGCAATAAAAGAGAAAATGTTGGACGGAATCAAGTGATGTTTTATCGATTTTTCGAGACAGTTTGATCACAGATGTCGGACATTGATAGACACAAGTCCATTTAAGCTTGTAATGATAAATAATTTCGTGGTAAAATGTATCGGTAATCGTCTTGGGGACGATAAGTCACGGTGTTTAGCAGTTTAGCAGTTTAACAAACTAGTCTTATTTCAAACTTAACTCTCATGTGTATTATGTGTTTGTGCGAACGAACTTTTCTTCTTATAAAGTAAAGCTTCAAGAGTAGCTCTTTCTCTCTTTGTACGTAGAGGAAAACATATCATAAGTATAGCCAATACTGTACAGTATAGTAGAAGTACACTGTAGAAGTCGTTGAGTTGAGTCACTTTTTCAAAAGTTTTTACCAACCGTCGCACAAGCTGTCACGGTGGTCGCGACACCACAAAAAGATGAATACTGAAAAGAAGTGCGCGTGTTACAGCATCCGATATCAGGTTTGTTTGCTGTTTATTTTAAATATTCCCCTTTTTCGAAATTACCAATTTAATTTTTAAATGTAAATAAAACCGATGCTGATGGACGATCAATAAATTAACCGTCGTGAAACGCGAGTCTTTTTTTTTTTAAGTTTTAGCGCTAACACCCGCTTACGGGCCTCGTTGACAGATGCTTAATGAGGTTAATATTTAATCTTGTTTTTATTTAATAAACAAAATATTCACGCAAATTAAAGATACATCACCGGCATTTATTATGTTTTGATACATTCCACGGTATATAGAGTCAACATCCTCTTCTGGATCTTTATTTTTCGTACTTTTAAAATTATCTGGCAGTTTTTGGTATTCCTATTTTATTCCTGGTCAACACTTTAATCGCCGCAATTAATCACTTTCAGCCGATGTTGGGAATTTGAATTTGTAATTTAAGAAAAGGCGCCATTATTTTTCGTAAATAAATATAAAAATTACAAGGTTCAAATATATATATATCAAAGGAAATAATGATGAATTACAAAATATCTAATATTACTAGTGAGACATATAAATAAATGTAACTTTCTCTCCAAAATAAAAGTTAAAGAAAAATTTCTTGTGATTGAAAAATTAATAAATTTTTTCTAAATAAAGTTATTGACAATTAATAACTTTTTCTATCAATCTATATGTAGAATTTAGACAGCAATCTGAATATCTATACAGATAAAACAAACATCTCGCGTTAAGAAAATTTTAAGGAAGACTAAAGTTATTTTGGTGTAAGAAATTTTTTTGGCTCAAGAAACTTTGACTTCATTCAAAAAATTTTCAATCTTTCTTACTATTTTTTTGAGCCAAAAAAATTAACACTCCAGCCAAGAATTTTGTTTTTAGTGTAGTTAATTAATAACATCAATAATTTTGTATAATTATCAATCACAAACTTTGTGTGATACTTCAATTTTATCTATCTCAACATAAAATTGAGGTGAAATATATGAAGCCAATTTATTCGTAACATGATTGGTCTAATATATAATAAGCATGAAAATATAGACAAACGCTATATTTAGGAGCGCAAAATTTAATTCTAATACCAAATAATCCTAATGTACTCTTCAAATTTCAAATTAATATCACTAGAAATAATATAGAAACTTATATTTTCATACTTATAACTTATAATATATCCAACCAACATCACGAATAAATTGTCCACCTAAATTTAATCTCATCTTTAAAATACCGACTTTTTCCTTCAAATTTTCTCACCTTTATTTCTAAGCAACCCCAAAAATATCTCTATTACAATTAAGTCACCCCCCAACTCAAATAAAACCCAACCAGCCTAACAATCTCACAATTTCTGTTACAGACCCACCTCGGAGGCAGTACGGTGGTAGCCGAGGGTGTAATAGGCGGCATAGGGGGCCCAGGCGGCGGGTGCCGCGCATCATCGATGACGATGGCGGAGAGCGTGGTGGAGGACACTCCCCCAGGCCCGGCGAAACCGCCGCCGGCCTGCACCAACAACAACACCCTATCAGCGACCGCGAACCGGAACCACCGGTTCCGCAAGCGCAAGTGCCTAACCCAGGTCCTTGACGCTTTGCAGGCGCACAAGGGCTCCATCGAGGAGTCCGAGAACAACAACCAGCCCCTGCACCTGGAGTCAACCTCCCTGGAGGACCAGGACCCAGACCACGACCAGGACCATGACCAGGACGACATCTTCAGCTCCCCCAGATCTTCCTCCAGGGCCTCCCGGGCCTCCACAGAGAACAACCTGTCCCTGACCGACAAGCGCCTGAAAGTCGAACCCCTGGAGTCGCCCCTGCACACGCCCTCCGACGAAGAGTCCTCCCCCTCGCCTGCGATTGGTGGGGGCCTTCACCTGCAACGACACCTCCCGAACCTCCCGAACCACCCCAACCATCACAACCATCACAACAATCACAACCATCACAACCACCACCACAACCATCAACAATACTCTTTCCGCGCTCCCCATTTAACTTCAGCGAACTATCGCGGGTGCGCGTGCTTAAGTTGCACCTCCCCCAACATAATTCTTCCGTCCCCGACGTCTCCCCAAGCGCCCCTGACGCCCCTAACCCCTGTATCGAGCACCCCAACGAATATTACGCCCTTGACACCTGTAACTCCTTCGTCGTACACCTTCGAGCATTACCTGCACACAAAGTACCTGCCAATTGACGCGACAAGCGAACGCAAGGACGTGGAAGTACCTGGCGGCTGGATCGACCAAAAGCCTCTTTTGCTCTGGCCAACCTCCCGACAAAATGGCGCCTTGGAAAGCGACGCTAAATCCAACCAATCCAACAACCCCAACCCGAATTCCTTCCAGGAATTCCCTTTGGACTTGTCGATGAAGAACTGCAATTCTGCAACGACTGAAATCGTCGGACGACCAGGAGGCCTCCAACTTCTGCCCTCCAGTGTGGGCTCCAGGGGCGCCTTGACCTTCCCGGTAATTCGTGGTGATGTTGCCAGTCCTACGACTAAGGAAAGCGTCGCGTTCAGGTTTAATATTGAGGTGTCGCCTGTGGTGGAAGAAATGCCTCCTGGAACTGATCTGGCTTATGTTTGTCCGGCCTGCGGGCAGATGTTCAGCCTCCACGACAGGTTGGCCAAGCACATGGCTTCTAGGCATAAAAGACAAGGCGCCAAAGACGCCACTGCCAAGGCCTACTCCTGCGATGTCTGCAACAGGAGTTTCGCGAGGTCTGATATGCTTACCAGACACATGAGGCTGCATACGGGCGTCAAGCCTTACACGTGCAGGGTCTGCGGGCAGGTGTTCAGCAGGTCTGATCATCTTAGCACTCATCAGAGGACTCATACCGGTGAGAAGCCTTATAAGTGTCCTCAGTGTGTTTATGCGGCTTGTAGGAGGGATATGATCACAAGGCATCTCAGGACTCATGCGAGGTATGTTGATGGGCAGAATAACAAGTGCGAAGCTGGCCAGGAGAATGATAGTTCCGGGTTTACGGCGATCAATGCGCTAGCTGGGGTTAAGACAGAGTGACTAGGATTTTGGAGGGCTTTTGAGATAAGTGACGGGGGAAAAGTTTGTTGAGGTTTTTTGTTTTTTTTTGTATTTATTTTTTGTGGGACGGAAGGTTGGAATTAGAGAGGAAATTTTTGGAAAAAAATGGTTGAGAAATTTCAATTGGTAATTTTTTTTTTGATGAGAGTTTTATTTGTTTGAAAATTCTTAAAATTATAACAAATTAAAATTAAATAAAATTGAAAATAAAATTGAAAAAAATTTTTTTTTTATGGATAAAATTTGATAATTTTATAATAAAGAAAATTATTGAAAAATCAATAATTGATTTAATAAAAAAATTTTTTGTTAATTTCAAAAATTGAAAAAAAATTTTTTTAACAAAATTAGAAATTTTTTTTGGGTAAAATTTGATAATTTTTTTATTTATAATTTTATAAAAATAATTTTCAAAAAAAAAATTATTGAAAAATCAATAATTGATTTAATAAAAAAATTTTTTGTTAATTTAAAAAATTCTTAACAAAATTGGAAATTTTTTGGGATAAAATTTGATAATTTTATAATAAAGAAAATTATTGAAAAATCAATAATTGATTTAATAAAAAAATTTTTTGTTAATTTAAAAAATTCTTAACAAAATTGGAAATTTTTTGGGATAAAATTTGATAATTTTATAATAAAGAAAATTATTGAAAAATCAATAATTGATTTAATAAAAAAATTTTTTGTTAATTTAAAAAATTCTTAACAAAATTGGAAATTTTTTGGGATAAAATTTGATAATTTTATAATAAAGAAAATTATTGAAAAATCAATAATTGATTTAATAAAAAAATTTTTTGTTAATTTAAAAAATTCTTAACAAAATTGGAAATTTTTTGGGATAAAATTTGATAATTTTATAATAAAGAAAATTATTGAAAAATCAATAATTGATTTAATAAAAAAATTTTTTGTTAATTTAAAAAATTCTTAACAAAATTGGAAATTTTTTGGGATAAAATTTGATAATTTTATAATAAAGAAAATTATTGAAAAATCAATAATTGATTTAATAAAAAAATTTTTTGTTAATTTAAAAAATTCTTAACAAAATTGGAAATTTTTTGGGATAAAATTTGATAATTTTATAATAAAGAAAATTATTGAAAAATCAATAATTGATTTAATAAAAAAATTTTTTGTTAATTTCAAAAATTGAAAAAAAATTTTTTTAACAAAATTAGAAATTTTTTTTGGGTAAAATTTGATAATTTTTTTATTTATAATTTTATAAAAATAATTTTCAAAAAAAAAATTATTGAAAAATCAATAATTGATTGAATAAAAATATTTTTTGTTAATTTCAAAAATTTTTGAACAAAATTGGAAATTTTTTTTGGGTAAAATTTGACAATTTTTTTATTTGTAATTTTATAAAAATTTCCAATAAAAATTTTTTAAAATCAATTAATTAAATACTTAAAGTTAAAAACTTCTTGGCAAAAAATTTTTTTTTTTTTTTAAAATGTTAAAAATTGTTAAAAAAAATAAAAACTAAAAAAAACTGTCCAATATTTTTATCGAAAAAAAAGATTTAAAAATCTAAAAAAAAAGTAATTTTTTTGTGATATTATTAATCACGTCTTAAACTACTTAAGTCCTCCAGTTAATAAATAATAATAATGATATACTTACACGTATTTTTGTATATCGATTTTTTCAAACTACCACTTAATCATAAAATATAAATTGTTTATACTTAAGACAGCTGATACATAAGTTAATTAATTTATAATAAAACTAAATAATAAGTTTGTTTAAAACTTTCACTACAACTATCTTTAATATTATATTAATTATTATTATTATTATTATTATTATTAAAAAAAAAAATATAAAAACGAGTTGTTGAATAATTCGTTAAAGACGCTTTGCCATTTAACTTGCCTGTAGTTAATAAATAATTAAAAAAAAAAAACATCGTTTTTAAAACGAGAATAGAAAAGAGTTTTTTAAAAACTAGCGAATGATAATTTTGAAAATACGTCAAGGTTGTAACAATGCATGTGACATTTTTTGCAAGTGCCAAGTAATGCATGAGATTTATTTATAATTATTATTACATGTATAAATATATAAATATACATAGATATAAATATTTATATTAAATAATGAAACTGAGAAAATTAACTACTTTTAAGATCATCGATTAATGATTAATAATAATTGTTCAATTATTAATTATGACAACAAAACTATTAACTTATAATTAATTAATTAATTAATTAACCAGTTACGTTGTTAAGTTAATCATGTTTATGCTTCTATTATTTATTTTGTTATCCCAAACGATTCCCTTTGTTTCCAATTCCTTTTAGTACTAAAATTATTATTATTAATATTATTATCATTATTATTATTATTAATTTAATGTCCTACTTAACTACTTAAAGGAACAAATTGTGAAGAATTAAGCTAAATCGTAAAACGATGTGCGAATGCGTTATTTATTTGACTTTTTTATTACTATTATTATTATTATTATTATTATTATTATTATTATTATCATTATTATCATATATTTAATTGTAATGAATGGTTTTTGAAACTGGGAAAATTTTTAGTAATTAAGAAAATTTTTGTATAAATTATTACAATTGAATTGTGTACGTTAATTTATAAAATATGTTGTGTTTAATGAACGTGCCAGAATGAACAAAAGAAAATATAATTTTTCAACTTATATTTATGATTTTTTTATTTATTTTTTCCTTTTTATTTATTTTTAGTTAGTTGTATAATTTATTTTTTATTTTTAAAATTCATAATCAAGATTTGACTCTAGATACATAATTAAGAAATGACCTTGTATCTCGTGAACTATTGACATTTTTAAAGATATAAGCTCATCCTGATATAGGCGACTGCTTGGCCGAGCGGTTTAAGTCTTAAACTGCCGCACAGCAGTCGCTCAGGCGTGGGTTCGAGCCCTGGCAATTGCAATTTTTCTTCTGCGATTTCTGGGGCTTGCTCCCTTGCCGACTGTACCTTGGCCAGGTTTCTGTGGTTTTTCCTCGGTCATTGTGCCCCTAAAATAAGCGGGGCACAGGCAAATGCGGGTACAGACTGTAAGCCGGCCACAGCCGCAAAAACGGAGGGTCCTGTTACAGGACTATATAGGAGGAATAGCTACAGGAGGAAATAGCTACAGGAGGAAAATAGCTACAGGAGGAAAATAACTACAGGAGGAAAATAACTACAGGAGGAAATAGCTACAGGAGGAAAATAGCTACAGGAGGAAAATAACTACAGGAGGAAATAGCTACAGGAGTAGCTTGGAGGGGGCCTGGTACTGCGAAGTAATGCTAACGCGGTCCCGCAGTATCAGGTACAAGAGAGGGGAGGGTTTTAGTGAGTAAGAATCTCACACTACCGGCAACCAATATCTCCAACATCTAGCCGGTGTCTTATGAAGATTTCCCTCCTCTCGCCAAAAAAAAAAAAAAAAAAAAAAAAAAAAAAAAAAAAAAAGCTCATCCTGATATTACACTTATCGAGACCTTTCATTTGAATACCCACATCAATTTTTCACATATTTCATATATTTTGTATATTTATATATATTATATATATATGTATATATGAAAAATATATCAAAAATGCATGTGGGTACTCAAATGAAAGCTTTTGATGAGTGTAATATCGGGATGAGCTTATATCTTTAAAAACGTCAATATTTAAGAAAATACAGTGCAATTTAACGAACGTCATTATTTAATAAAGCAAAATTTTATTTATTTATAGTTCACAAGTCACGGCAGTCACATCGTGACTGCAAAATTACTAGTAATTACTTTGATAATTATTTAATTCATTAAAATCATTTATTAATAGATATAGAACTTTTGATCCGGTCCAAAAATTTTATCATATTAAACAATTTGAAACTTTTATAAATAAAATTTGTAACGAGGAATTTAAAGTTTGACGCTAATTTTGTTTTGAAGTCAAAAAATATATAGTTTAATTTTGATAGTTCAAAAAAATGTTTCTTTCAAAGTTTGAAATTTTATTAAATCTTGTTATTTTAAATTAAAAAATTTTGTTCTCGTTAATAGACATTTACTTATTATCATTATTTTTTTTTTCTATAAAAATTGAGTGTATATAAGCAGGAGTCGTGCCTTGACGTAAAAAAAATAATTCTCGATCTCAAAGATCCACGAGCTTGGTGTTAAATTGGACATATCAAACCAAAAAAATTATTAAAAGGGATGGTGGTACGATAAATAATGATTATTAAATAATAAATTCCTGTCCAATCTAATTATCATAAATATATACTAAATGTTTACATATTCTGTCCGTAAAACGGAGTAAAAGTCTTATATAAATAAAAAAAAAAATAAATAAAATAAAACTAACTATAAAAAAAAAGTATATTATATATGTAAATACAGGTTGTCAAAATGTGATTATTTATGGTAAATAATATGTAAAAAATAAATAAACAGTTGCTCATTCTCCGTAATAATGTAAAGTAGTATTTCCTCGGGTGCATTTGAATTATCCACTGGCAGCATATTTCAGGTGCTAAGTATATAGATTTATCTAGTGCGTAATCAGTTCTTGCTTTATCGTTCTTCATCATAATCGATATACTTGTGCACATATCTATATCTATATCTATATCTATATATTTTATTTTATTTTATATATTTATAAAGTTAACTACTTAGGGTACGCATTGGAACGTACAACGGTTTTCTAACCACAAGATAGTTAAATATACAAGCTTCCGCTTTCTACATTCAAATCAAACTAAAAAATCCACGGTCATACAAAAATTCAAGCTTGATATGTTGCATGTTGTACATTGATCTTTAATTCTCCGCGATGTAATAAATACAAGTACTTATTTTACGGTCATATTTTTTTGTTCAATTCAACTTCAAGTGCTACCGAGGAAATCAAACTTTTAATTTTCCTATTTGAAAAATATCAATAAAATTATGTTTTTTATGTAAATCATA